ACCGCCTTTCTTCCTCTTATTTTCTCTCAGTTCTAGAAGCTTCACTACTCACCATGGCAGACATGGCTGAGCTCATTCATTCTAATTCTCAGTGAAGATCTTTACTGGTTTGATGTATAATTAAAGCATTTCACAATTTTTAAAAGAATTGCTTGTTTACAAAAATACCCTCAAAACCAGTCCATCACTATAACTTTTAAAAAAAAAACATATGTTGAGAAATGTTTTTATATGAAAAAGTTTAAGAAAATTCATTTGATTTGTCTACCTATATTGTAATATAGAACTAAATATTTATTTATAAAAAAATATGCTAAGTATTTATTTATTTACTAAAGATATAATTTTATTTCTCACTATTTTGATTATTTTAAACTTGCATTAATATAATAACTAGCATATTTTAATCAAGCATAAATTTTGAAGGATAATTTTGTCTTTAACTAAGCTAATGCATGCATTAAAACCCATTACATTGCTAATACCCATGATTTTCTATGCAAAAGTTATGCATAGGATAATACCAAATATGATGTATAACTAATGCTTGCATAATTAATGCATATGTTCAAAATATTTAGCAAACAAGGTATTATTAATACACAAAGCTAATGCATGCATTATTTTATCCAATGCATCCTACCAAACGACCCCTAAGTAACATATACTTCAGTGGCAGGGCATACATATAAATACCTATGAACTGGCAGGGAGAACTAGCCAGAGTGGGCAACCATACATTACTTCTGTTTCTTTTCTTTTTGATACTGCATTATAAAGCTTTTTGGTAAATAAAATCCTTTACTTTCCATTTGCCAAGAAAAAAGAAAGAAGAATTCATGTAGAATTACGTATATGTAACGCCTCTAAAGAATCAATTAATTCGATTTCCATTGGTATCAACTGTTGGGATTTTCAAAGTATTGTGTAAATGGGAAATGGAGGGAAAAAATATGGAGGAAAATAAAAAAAATAAAAGAGAGGGAAATCATTGTGATTACATTGAAAAATACTTCTTATAACACTTAACGAGTTGAGAAGAAGGCAAGTCTCGCGCCTTCGCGGCGTCGTCGCGCGGCTTTAGTTTTTGATTTGGATTAATATTTTCTGTCCGTTTTTGTAACGATCGTTTGGTTTTCCCTCTATTTTAATCCGTTTTTCGTAAACAGCTACTTGAGAGGCTGCAACTGTTGAGTTGCACCTCTTCCTTTCAACCAGTCGTTGGTTATAAATTCAAAGGCTTGGCCTTTGTTTTCATTCATCAAAAATATTCTGTAAACTCTCTCCCTCTTCTTTTGAATTGCTTTTCATAACAAACGTAAGTGTTTAACTGTGATTTTTTCCGTCATTTAAGCAGAGACAGAGCCAGATTCCAAGCTTATGGGTTTAAGTTTCTAATCGTTAAAAGTTACTAGTTTTAAATTAATAATTTATACATATTTCATGATTTTTTTAAGACAAATAAATGGTTCGAATCGAAATTCTGGGTTTGATACGATTTGCCACCATTCTACCTCCACCCTTGCATTTAAGTTTGCCAAAGTTCTGTAATTTGAAGTGTTGCTAAATAGTTCTCCGTTCTGTCCTATCAGAAATTAATCCATAACCTTAGTCAATAATGAAAAGATTAAATTCCTTAAGGATACACAATAAAATCGGTGGGCCCGAAATTATTTTCTTGCTGTTGTTAACAAATGTTTCTGGTTTTCTTTTCTTCTGTTTGTTAACACTATGTACTAACATCAACTTCTTGTTAAAAGCTACTTCTATTCAACGTAGAGATCGAGCTGACAACTACAAAAATGCATGTTAGCTTGTGTTTGATGTGCTTTCATTTAAGAGAAATTATTTGTTATATCTGCTCGTTTACAAAAATTAGTCATTTCATAAAATATTATTAATATTAGTCAAATATTATTATTATTAGCTAATTAGCTATTTATAGTTAAAAAAAAAGTTAAATTTTTGCTTTCTTTTGAGTGAATGTCGTTGAAATAGATTGAGTACATCTTAAGGAGTTTGAATCTCAGTTTTGTAGTGATTTCGTGGAATTTTGAGGTGGTTTGCATTGAAAATTCAAAGTAGAAGATGAACATGGATAAAAATAATATGTGTATTACACTCTGTATCATTTATATATCACATATGTACCATATGTTCAAATGTGTATCACATGTATGCCTGTATGTAAGATACATGCATGCAGAAGAATTTTTTAAATTCAATTTTAACTACGAATATTGATACTAAACCAGTCCAAATCATCTTTAATCTTGCTCGAATTTTGTATATTACCTCATTTATATGATTTCAATGGATTCCAACCATACTCACTAAAAAAATAAAAATCCTTATTTGACTATTTTTTTCTTTATTGTATGTCATCGGTAATGATATTCAGTGTTGTAACAACTATAGGGGTATCAAGTTAGTAAGTCATACCATGAAAGTTTGGGAGAGGGTGGTGGAGGCGAGGGTGAGGAAGATAGTGTCTATATCTGACAATCAGTTCGGGTTCATGCCGGGTTGCTAGACCACAGAAGCTATCCACCTTATTAGGAGGTTGGTGGAACAGTATAGGGATCGGAAGAAAGATATGCACATGGTGTTTATTCACTTGGAAAAAGCGTATGACAAGGTCCCTAGGGAAGTGCTATGGAGATGTCTGGAGGTAAAAGGTGTGCCGGTAGCTTATGTTAGAGCGATCAAGGACATGTATGATGGATCTAAGACTAGGATAAGGACTGTGGGAGGCGACTCGGAGCATTTCCCGGTTGTTATGGGGTTACACCAAGGATCTGCGCTTAGCCCGTTCCTATTTGCATTAGTAATGGATGCACTAACACACCATATTCAAGGGGAAGTGCCATGGTGTATGTTATTCGCTGATGACATAGTCCTGATTGATGAGACGCGGGACGGTGTTAATGAGAGGTTAGAGGTTTGGAGACAAGCTCTCGAGTCTAAGGGTTTCAGATTGATTAGGACTAAGACGGAGTACTTGGAGTGCAAGTTCAGTGCCGAGTCGAGGAAAGTAGGCATGGATGTAAGGCTTGGAACACAGGTCATCCCCAAGAGAGGTAGTTTCAAGTACCTTGGGTCGATTGTTCAAGGGGATGGAGAGATCGATGAGAACGTCACTCACCGCATTAGAGTGGGGTAGACGAAATGGAGGCTAGCATCTGGAGTCTTATGTGACAAGAAAGTGCCACCTATACTCAAAGGTAAATTTTATAGAGCGGTGGTTAGACCGGCCTTGTTGTATGGGGCAGAGTGTTGGCCAGTTAAGAACTCTCATATCCAGAAGATTAAGGTAGCTGAGATGAGGATGTTGAGGTGGATGTGCGGGCACACTAGGATAGATAAGATTAGGAATGAAGATAATCGGGAGAAGGTGGGTGTGGCCTCTATGGATGACAAGATGCGGGAAGCGAGGGTCAGATGGTTCGAGCATATGCGGAGGCGAAGCCTGGATGCTCCGATGAGGAGGTGTGAGCTGTTGGCTTTAGTGGGTATGAGAAGAGGTAGAGGTCGGCCTAAGAAGTATTGGGGAGAGGTGATCAGGCAGGACATGGCACGCTTGCAGATTTTCGAGGACATGGCCCTTGATAGGAAGGTCTGGAGGTCGAGCACTAGGGTTGTAGGATAGAGTGGTAGTCGAGCTTCTCCTTCTCTATTCCGGGGGTGTAGTTGATGTATCACACTAACCTTACTGTTTCCCATAGCTCTGTATCTTAGTTGCGGGTTATTGTTATTGCATGTCATCTATTTTATGGTTTTCAAGATGCTGTCATTATTTCTATGGTTATGTTGACAATACTGATGAATTATCTTTTCTTTTCTTGTTTTATTTCCATCTTCCTGAGCCGAGGGTCTATCGGAAACAACCTCTCTGCCCTATCGGGGTAGGGGTAAGGTCTGCGTACACACTACCCCCCCAAGACCCCACGTAGTGGGACTTTACTGGGTCGTTGTTGTTGTTGTTGTATATCATCGGTAATGAATTTGACCCCAAATTAGTCCAATTCACCTTCAAATTTTGTATATTATCTGATATATGTTTTTTGTTGTCAAAAGCTACTTCCGTTTCCTCTTGACCCAAATGGTTCATGTTGCTTTGAAGCCGACTGCTTCTTGGCTAAACAGATTCCGATGTTAGAAAAAGACAAGGATTAGTAGACAACGTAAAGATAAATTAATTCTCAAGAAATTAAAGAGTATCAGTTTTCGTTGTAAGAAGATGATGTACATGTTGTACAGTATAAAAGCGCTAGTATAAGGAGAAGAATGAGATAAGTACGTATAAATAAACTAGTGGGGTGTTGCTCGGGCTAAACCTGGGCCTAATAGTTCTTTAGAAAAGTTGTTACAAGAAGCAACAATAAGCAAAATAAAAGAAGCAATAACATTCCACGATAACCAAATTTGAGAGAAGTCCAACTGTTAAGCTTCAACTTTTACTCTATAAGAATCTATTGTTAGGATTCAACCTCCCATTTCTGACATTGTACTTCCGTATTATGCCTGTATGGAACAGACTGCAACAGTTAAGGCTGATAACTATATACTCAACTAGGCGAGACATCTACATAAGTGCATAACCTCATATATGATTTCTGCAATATCCCTGTTTCAAAATTTGCATCCTTGCCAAGGATTGTAATGGAAAAATTCTGCCTTTCGCCAATACCATTAGTTACATTAACCGCTACTAAAATGCATAAAACTATAGAAGTTAAGGCTAAAATAGCTGACAAAATCTAATAAAATTCAAGTTCCTTTCATGAATTCCAATCAAATCGAAGTGCGGAGATGAAGGTTCTAGAAAATGAGATAGAGAAAAATATCTGAACTTTACATTTCATTCACAAAATGATACCTAGTCTCTTTATTTATAAAGAGTCCCCACTCTATATATAACTCAGGCGCAAACTAGTAAAAACTAAATAATTAAACCCGCCTAACTGGGCCTGTCCTCTAACACAGTAGTTGGGCCTGGCTCAGGTGTAAAATATGGTGGCCCAACACCCCCGCAAGTTGGAAGTGGGGCTGGAAGAACCCACTCCCAACTTGGACAATTGCTGCAAATGGGCCTGACTAGGAAGGCTCTTTGTGAAAATATCCGCAAGTTGGGCACTAGAAGGTATATAATGCAATGAAATCAAGCCATCTTGCAATTTCTCCCGAACAAAATGGCAGTCTAGCTCTATGTGTTTAGTCCGCTCGTGAAAGACAGGATTCTTTGCAATCTGAATGGCAGACTGATTATTGCAATGGACAGCAATAAGAGTCAAATTAGTGAACATTCATATTCTCCAAGAGGCGACATAACCAAGTTAATTCAGCCACCAATCTCCGAACAGACCTACACTCAGCCCCCGCAGATGATAAAGAAACAGTAGTCTGCTTCTTCGACTTCCAAGAGATAGGACAGGACCCCAATGTAACAAGAAAACCACTAACAGACCGCCTGGAATCACGACAAGAAGCCCAATCCAAATCACAAAATGCAACCATAGAAAAAGAGAAATGAGAGGAGAAATGAAGTCCCAAACCAGACAATCCTTTTATGTAGCACACAGTATGTAAAGCAGCATCCAAATGGGGCTGCCTGGGTGTCTGCATGAATTGACTAAGATGCTGAACCGTATAAGCCATGTCGGGCCTAGTGTGAGTTAAGAAATTGAGTTTGCCAATTAACCTCCTGTAAAGAGAAGGATCAGAAAGCAAACTACCTACATCAGAAGACAAATTTAGACCCAAAGCAAGAGGACTGGAGGTTGGCTTGGAATCTGTGCACCCAAATTCCTCAACCAATTCGAGAGCAAACTTCCTTTGATTGACCAAAATACCATCAGACACATACATAACCTCTAGACCAAGAAAGTAATGTAAAGAACCTAAATCCTTGATTTTGCATTGAGCATCCAGAAACTGTTTAAGATGAAGAATGCCTTCTATATAATTACCAATTAACACAATATCATCTACATAGAACCCCAAATACACAGAACCAGTAGTTGAGTGTTTAAAAAATAGAGAATAATCATTCTTAGAATGTTGAAAACCTTTGGAATGTAAAGCATCAGATAGCTTGTCATACCATTGTCTAGATGCCTGTTTGAGACCATACAAACATTTGTTTAACTTGCAAACCAAATCAGAAGAAGTGACAACCATACCTTGAGGGACCTTCATATACACCTCCTCCATTAAATCCACATGCAAAAACGCATTATTAACATCGAGCTAAAAAAGTTGCCACTGATTCTTGACAGCGACAACTAAAAGGCACCTGATCGTAGTCATTTTGACAACAGGAGAAAACGTTTCGGTGTAGTCAAGACCCTCATTTTGGGTATCTCCTCTAATGACAAGTCTGGCTTTGAGCCTTTCGATAGAACCATCAGCCCTATGTTTAATCTTATAAACCCATTTACTGGGAATGGCATGATTCCCAACAGGCAAGGAACCAAACTCCAAGTATTGTTTGCCTCTAAGGCTTCAAATTCCTTGGACATGACTCTTGCCATCCTGGATGTAAAGTTGCCTAAGAATAAGTTCTAGGCTTTTGCACAGTGGAAAGAGAGTTAGTAAAGGATTGAGATTGGCAAGACAAAGCAGAAATACAAACCTGTTTCATATTGGTGTGAACGGGTAAAACATAAGAGGGGGAACGACAGGAAATAGAGGCAGAGTTACACACTAAATCTTGAAGATACCAGGTCTTTGGTGAGTTCTGGATGACTTCTTCAATGGAACAACTGGAGGAATAGAAGGGGATGTATCAGAAGGTACAGGAACAAGAGTATGAGTGAGTGGAGGAACATTAGAAGAAGATGGAGAAGTAGGAGGAGAAGGAGAAGAAAAACCTGTAGGTAGAGATGAAGAGGAAGATGTAGGCATGGGAAAAGAAGAGTATTCTGGAGAAGGACAAAAAGAAGAAAAGGTAGGAGGAGGAGTAAATTCAAGGAACTCAGAAGAAGGAGATGGTTGTTGTAAAACAAAAGGAAAAACAGCCTCATAAAACATCATATCTCTGGACATCATAATCTGTTGAGTGGTAAGGTTTAATACCCTGTAGCCTTTCTTCCCAAAAGGGTACCCCAAGAGTACACAAGGACTTGCCCTTGGTGAAAACTTATCCCTACCCCTTTTGAGTGTTGAAATGTAACAAAGACAATCAAAAGCTCTAAGATGATCATTAGAATGAGGTGTACCGAAGAGAAGCTCATGAGATAGAGTTGGGAAATCTGTTTATCAAATAGGTTGCAGTCAGAATACACTCCCCCCAATATTTCAAAGGCATTTTGGATTGAAAAAGAAGTGCTCTTGCAGTTTCAAGTAAGTGTCTATGTTTCCATTCAACAACTCCATTCTGTTGAGGTGTTTCTACACAAGATGTTTGATGAAGAATTCCTTTAGAGAGAAAGAAAGAGGAAGATTCATGACTTAATCCTAACTCAAAAGCGTTGTCAGATCTTACTGTCTTAACTCTGTAATTAAACTGAGTTTCAACCATGAGAATGAAAGCTTTCAAAGCTGTAAAGACATTACATTTTGTACTGAGAAGATAAGTCCAAGTAGATCTAGAATAATCATCAACCAAGGTTAAGAAATATCTGTTCCCAGAATGTGTAGCAGTATTATAGGGTCCCCAAATATCTATATGAATAAGATCAAAAGAGAAGTAGTAGTTGTTGAACTGGAAGGAAATGAGTTCCTTGTCTGTCTGGCTAAGGGACAAATATGACAAGGAAATTATTGAGTTGAAGGTACAGAAATGGAAAGTTTAGAAGAAATAGATTTCAACTTATTGTAAGGTAAATGTCCCAATCTGTATTGCCACAAGGTATGCTTATCATTCAAAATAGAATTTACAGACTTAGACTCAATGATATTCTCACAGTTCTTGGAAACATTACACTTGGAACTAGGTACACATTTATTCAAAGGAGCAGAGGGAGTTAACGAGATAAAACCATCATTAAGAAACTTCTCTGGTTGCAAGATGTATAGCCCATCTGCTTCACTACCAACTTCCAGTGGCTTTTTCGGAGAAGGTCCCTGTAGCGAGAAGCAAGTAGACTCACTGAAACAAATCAAGCCTTTAATTTGATTGCATAGCTTGTGAACTGATACTAGGTTATACTGAAAAGATGGAACATGCAGCACAGTGGGAAGAAAAAGTGCTTTACACAAAGGAAGTGAACCCACTGAATGAACCTTTACCCTATAGCCATAAGGTAAAGCAACTAAGTAAGGAGCAGGAAGGGGTTTAATTTCAGAAATAAGAGATAAGTTAGAAGTCATGTGGTCTGTAGCCCCTGAATCTATGATCTAGGGTTTTTGAGACAAAGAATCAGGTGGGGCAGATGAGACAGACTTTGCAAAGCTGCTAAAATCTAAAATAGTGACCTTACCTGCCAAGTTAGCAGAACCAATGCCTTCAGGAAGAGAATAACCTTGAGACCCAACAACAACATTCTATAGGAGCTGCATCAATTGGCTCATCTGCTCCTTGGTTATTACTCCTCCACATACAGTAGACTGTCTAGAATCTGATCTAGTTCCTTCATCATTTTCAGAAGTTTGTACCATAGCAGCAGTTCTTTTAGCCCTCTGGTTATTGTTGAATCTATTCTAAGGTTGATTATTGTTGGGGTAACCATGCAGCTTGTAACACCTATCAATTAGGTGCCCAGGCTTTTTACAGTGGCTGCAAAACATAGTATTTTTTCTACCATCTCTCACTTACTTCTGTCCAGCCTTAAAGTCAATGTTGAATTTTCCACCATTGTTACCATTTCTGAAATTCATGTTATGATTCTGATTAAGATTGAAACCTTGATTCTGAGTTTGAGGTTGCTACTGCATGTTGTTGCCTCCAGCAATGAGAGAAGCTGCCTCAGTTATGAAAGACACACTTGCTTGTACTTCTCTTTGTTTTTCTTCATGTACTAACAAAGAGTATGTCTTGGACAGACTAGGAAGTGGTGTCATCATGAGAATATTACCTCTTGATGCGGTGTAGAATTAATTTAGACTCATGAGGAACTGGTACACTTATTACTCTCAATCATACCAACATTATGCTCTTTTGCTCCACATTTACACACACAATCACAACAAGAGCAGGTCATAAAAGAATTAAGAATACTCAATTCATCCCATACTTCCTTAAGTCTAGAATAATATGTTGCTATGTCACTATTCCCTTCTGTCACCCCAACCAAATCCTTCTTAAGCCGATAGATCTAAGCCCCATTAGGTTGACCATATCCGTCTCTCAAGTCATCCCACATGTCTTTTGCTGACTTAGAATACATAACACTATTCTTTATTTACATAGTTAAAGCAGTCAAAATCCATGTTTCAACTAAATTGTTACATCTATCCAGGATTTGTAAAGAGGTGAAGTAATAGAAGTTCTAGGACATGATCCATCTGTGAAACCTATTTTGTTTGTAGAAGAAAGAGACATTAATATTCCCTTACTCCAATTCACATATCCTGTACCATCAAAAGGGGTGGATACCAGAAAAATTCCCGGCACATCACATGAAGAATATAGTATGGATGTGATGGATCAACAAGAATGGTCACATTAGACCCCGACTCTAAAGCAGTAGTATGCAAATTTGTAGATGATGAATTATCTCCCATTGCAACAGTAGACACTCAAATAATCATGTAATAATTTGACAAAATTACTGACTCAGACGTGTGCTGAATGAGAAATCAAAGAAGAAAGGAATCAAACCTTTTCCTTTTCGAGAGACCATGAATTATAACAAGCTCTATCAAAAAAACTACTTTAGTCGACTGAAAATGTGAATCAATCAGAGGAAACCAGCAGAAACTCACAATGTTGTAGTAGAAACATCCAGAAACAAACCGCACAAAGTAGAAAAATTTGCAAAACCGTAGGCGAAATCCCAAAAAACCCTAGGTCGCGTGATTCACCCCCAAACAAGCTAAAAATCAGAAATTACTCCGTCAGATGAAGAACATTACTCAACCTTGCTTTGATACCATGATAAAATTCAAGTTCCTTCCATGAATTCTAACCAAATCGAAGGGCGGAGATGAAGGTTCTAGAAAACGAGATAGAGAAAAATATCTGAACTTTACATTTTGTTCACAAAATGATACCCAGTCTCTTTATTTACAAAGAGTCCCCACTCTATATATAACTCATGGCCAAACTAGTAAAAACCAAATAATTAAACCCGCCTAACTGGGCCTGTCCTCTAACACAGTAATTGGGCCTCGCTCAGGTGTAAAATATGGTGGCGCAACAAAATCAGAGACAGCATTGACCAAAGATTGGTTCTAACAAAAGTCCTACTGTGGGCAATAACAGGCTTATCAATGCTAGAAGTAGAGTTCTCATTGGACCTCAACTTTGAGTACAACCTTTGTACTATTAATGAGAATAAGCAAAAGCAACACATCAATGGAAGATAGAAGAGTCCTTTGCGGACATGCAGAGAGGAAGATTGTAACGACCCGACCGATCGTTTTGAGCTTTTGCACTTCGCTCGCTAGTTCTCGGGTATGACTAGCCCCGTGTGATTTATTATGACTATGTAAATCGTTGGTTTTGGTTTTCAGGATAACCGGAATAGATTTGGAAGAACAATTCTCAGTTTGAAGCTTTAAGTTTGAAAGGTTTGACCAAGTTTTTGACTTTTTAGTATTCGATCTCGGATTTGGATTTCTATGATTTGGTTAGCTCCGTTAGGTGATTTTGGACTTAGGAGCGTGATCGGAATGTAATTTGGAGGTTCGTGGTAGATTTAGGCTTGAATTGGCAAAATTGGAATTTTGGCGTTTTCCGGTTGATAGGTAGAGATTTTGATATTGGGGTAGGAATGGAATTCCGGAAATTGGAGTAGGTCCGTTGTATCATTTTTGACGTGTGTGCAAAATTTCAGGTCATTCGGACGAGGTTTGATAGACTTTTTGATCGAATTTCGAATTCGGAAGTTTTGGAATTCTTAGGCTTGAATCCGAGGGTGTTCGATGTTTTGATGTTGTTTTGAGCATTCCGAAGGTTAGAACAAGTTTGAATGATATTATGAGGTCTGTTGGTATGTTTGGTCGGGGTCCCATGAGGCTTGCATAAGTTTTGGAAGAGTTTTTGGAAGATTTTGGCGTTTTGAGCATAAGCATGTAATGATCCAAAGGTCCATTTTTAGTTCTAGAGA